CGCACCACGCAGCCGCGCCGCCTCCGTCGCCCGCGCGTCCCACGGCCTCGGCTCCCTGCTCCCCGCCCCTTCTTCACCAGCCCCCCGGGGCCACGGGATCCAGGGGCCACCCCCGCAGCGCCGCCATCGGGAGGTGCCTGGGGATCGCGATGGATGAGCCGCGGGTCCTTCTTTAGCCTCCTGGAGCTCCGGATGGACGCGGGAGAGAGTGGTTCCGCGGAGGGCTGGGTGAGCCCCCACCTCTGAACAAGAACCCTTTGCGAGCCAGCCACGCGGCCTCCTGCACCCGTTGTGTGACGAGTGTCGTGCCACCCAACTGCAGAGGAGAGTAGTCGCGTTCTTTGCTGAGGGGTCCAAGGGGGAGTTAGGGAGTTGCGGAGAAGGGAGAGGATCGGGGTGCGACGTCGCAAAGGAAAGCCTGAATCCCTCTGTAACTCCAATCCAGCCTTCCCACCTCTGGGAAATTTCATCTTAATGAGGATGAGAAAGGGTAGCTGGCTCAGAGGAGTCCTGATCGACGTCCACTTCAGCAGCACAATCGTCTTCCCACCCTGGTGGACTAGTCCCCAAGGAATGCAATGCAACTGCTTTCTAATTTAGGAAGCGATCCCGGAGTTTCAGGACCACCATCCTTCTGGGGAGTCCGAATTGGGTTTATAGACCGCAGACCATTAAGCTCCTGACCTCTGGGCAAGACAGAACCAGAAAGTGGAAACTATTCTAGAACCATAGGTGAGCAGGTGCCCAGCAGTTGTACACTCGACCTCTTGGGGCACTTTTCACAAGTGCAGGGAAACAGGTACCAGTATTTTGTGGAAAGAGAACCGCTAAGAACTGTGTAGAACCTCTATGAGAATGTGCTTGAGATATCAAACATTTGCTATAGAGATATAAAAAAAAAAATTTCCGGCACCACCCAACATGACTTCCTTACTGGGCCCAGAAAGCTATAGAAGTATTGGAAGATTGAGAGCCCCCTCCATAGGGTTTTGCTAGGTTAACACCCTCTCTCCTTTGTTCAAAAACTGGTCTGTGAGTTGAAAACTTGCAGTCAAGCTTTGGTGAGGCAAGAACTTTACCTTTTCTGCAATCAACTCTTTCTAGTTGGACCTGGCCTTGAAGGGGTTGAGGTTATACTGGGGTAACAGTTATGATCCAGAATACCTATAAAGCAGGAGAACCAAGAAAGCCTACCTAATTCATACCAGGACACTGACTAATAATGACTTCAGTCCTTTGGATAAATTGGCCTTCTCACCCTCATAAGTGCCTTCTACCCAGCTCAAACACATGCCAGTCTGCTACCAATCTCATAGACTCAAAAAATAAGGTCTTGGGCTAGAGAGATGGCTCAGAATTTAAGAGCACTGGCTGCTCTTGCAGAGGACCCAGGTTCAATTCCCAGCACCTACATGACAGCTAACAACTGTTAGCCAGTTTCCAGGGGATCCAGCACCTTCTGACCTCCATGGGCATTGCACAACACGGGTGCACTTACATGCATGCGTGCAATACACTCATACACATAAAATTTAAAAATTAAAAATAAGATCTTTCAGCATGGTTCTTAACAGGAGAGCACTGACAAGCTTTACCTAAGCCCATTCATGCTGTTGCAATTCTTTCTATTTGTAAATAAAATCGCTGCTGCAGGAATACTGGATAATGGAGAAAAAGGTCTCTCTTAAGCCGATGTAACACCTTTCAAAAAAGGCCTAGAAATTAGATCCAATTGATGACTTAGTTTTATCCTTACGTGATTTGTCTCTGAGATAAAAAATCAACAGAGATAGCTCATGTCCCCTTGCCCCACATGTGCAGTTTCTCACTTTACCATCACACAAAGTCTATAGCTTTGACTGGGGTTCACCTCTGGTGTTGTACACCTATGGGTTTGGATCAATGTCCAGTGCTATTATTAGAGCATCATATAGGGTACTTTCTCTGTCCTAAAAACCTCTGTGCTCTGCCTAGACATCCTTCCTTTCCTGTCCCCTGCAAACCACTGATATTTTTATATCTCCATAGTTTTGCCTTTTTCATAATGTGTTATAAAAGTAAGTTATCTTCTTCACTAAGAACCTAAAACTGCTCTAAAAATTAAAGCCTTAAAAATTAGTCTAGGGGCTGGAGAGATGGCTCAGCAGTTAAGAACTCTGACTCATCCTGCAGAGGACCTAAGTCCAAGCAGAGGCCCCTGGTCCAATTCCCAGCACCTACATGGCACCTGACAATCTTCCTAAGGTACACTTGCACACGTGTGTAGGCAAAACACTCATACACATAAAATAAAAATAATAAATAAAAATTTTTTAAATAAAAAAATAAGGATAAAAAGTCAGTCTAGTATGGTGATGATATCTGTGACACCAGCACTTAGGAGCAGGAAGACCAGAAATTCAAATTCATCCTTGGCTACATACAGAGCTTCAGATCATTCTGGGCTACCTGAGACCCTGTCCCAAAAAAAGAAACAAAAAAGAAAAAAATGAGAAGAAAGATCAATGGAGAAGGTAGAGTTCAGATAACTCATTAGTAATTTGGAGAACAATTAAAAACTGGTTGGATTCCTGTATCATTTCATATATCCAATGTAACTTCTAGGAGGATTAATGAGTTTAATCTTAAGCAATCCAGAAGAAAATAGAATATTTGTTAAACTTCATAGAAATATTCCTGAACTTAGAGAAATTAGAAGGAAAAAATCAGTGGATGTGATTAGGCAGATGTTAAAAACAGATTATCTGAGCCAGGCATGGTGCCACACACCTTTAATCCCACAACTCTCAAGACAGAGACAGGTCAATCTCTGTGAGATGGAGACCAGCCTGGTCTACTTAGTGAGTTCCAGGTCAGCTGTGGCTATAGGGAGACCCTGTCTCGACACACACACACACACGTAGACTCACGTGCACGCACACACAGAGAGAGAATTCTCTCTCAAATCTTTATTTTATGTGACCTAACCAAGAAAAAGCATTGGCAGTAAACATGAAAGTCAAAGTCTGAATAGCTAAAGTAAGTACAGAATTCCAGTGACTATATAAACAATAAACAAACCACATTAAAGAAATATAAATTAACATCAGTGGGAAAGTTGTTCTGGTAAAGAAATATACATTAAATTAATGATAAAAGTGTGAAGATAATAAGCACTGGTTTGTACACATGATTGAAATGTATTGAAATGTTTATGCAGTTACAACATATGGAATGATATGATCCATTTGGAAGGCATTTTGGCTGTATGTCTCAGGTCAAAGTGCTACATTTTGACTCAGCAGCCCCACTTCTGGGAATGTAGCCAAAGAAATACTCCAAGACATGGGAAAAGTTATATACTGCAAGTTGTGTGTGATAGCATTATTTATATTGAACGCTTGACCACAAGTTAAGAGATCAAGTAGCTGGGGCTGTAACCAACTCCCTATTTTCACCTGGACTACAGTACTCTTGTCCCCATGTCTGCACCATTGCACAGCATTCCTGGTCTCTGGCTGGGGTCCTCTTTGTGTCTTCCGTCTGTGAGCCAACTCCCCTTACTCATCCTTCATCACCTCTGTCTAGCGTCCTGGAGGCTTCATCCTTTGTTCTTTCGTCACCACTGCTATTCCACATTGGCTCTTAGCAACTGCTTGTAATTCCTTGTTTACCTGGCTGTCTCCTCCATTCTGCTGTGACACCTTCAAGGGTGTGGCTCATCTCTTCTTAATCTGAGAATCATCAGTGCTTTGCAGATATGGCAGGTGCTTGGTAAATATTTATTAAAGGGTTGAATAAATCACTTACTCAGACTATAGCTATTAAGGATGATGATCATAAAAAGTATCTGACAATGTATGAATATATTACATATAAAGTTTAAAGGCATTGTACATGGAATTATCTCTAAAAATATTATTAAATAAGATGCAAGGTGCATAGTAACACAGTAGGTTACCATGTTATAAAATAGCAAGTGTGTTGGCAAAGAATGTGTACACATATTTCCTTGTTGATGATTAAGCTAGCTCTGAAAGAAAATATAATAGTAGGAACAAACTTGAAGACTCAACAATATTGGTGGGAAGGAGACCTGCTTTATTTTTAAAGTCTGTGACATATATACAGTTTTCTTGTATTAACATGCCCTTGTACCATGTAGATAATATACTCTACAAAATTGTATACAATCATATGTAAAATTTTAGGAGTAATTTCTTGACAAACGAGTTACTATGTTTAAGACATGGTTGTGGGACTGATGACTGTGCTAAGCTTTTCTACAGGCAGAATGTGGCTTCTTTTACATCAGAGCAAGCTGGACTCAGATTAAGGTCACTGCTGCCCCTGAGCAGAAGCTCTTACCACAAAGAGTTAAACCATAACAAGTCCTCACTGCAGCCTGTCTTAGGGCATCATGACAGTAATATAGAGAAATCATACTTTAATGAGTGGTCCCAGACCATCCAGAGCCAGATGCCTGGTCACTTAGGACATCTTACACAGACAGCCAGTCCCAAAATAGACAAACTCACAGTTTAAAATGTATTCCTCAGCAGAATAATGAGACGTCTTCCTGGTCATCCAGATATGCACCTCACACAGGTGTCCCACTCCACAAGACATAACCGCTTTCCTTTTAACTACTATAAGGAGAGCTTTCTCTTCCCCCCGCTCCCCCAAGCACAATCTCCTCTCTAAATTCTTCCAGACATGGTTGTGCCTGGGTGGGTTACTTTGTTTTCATGTTTCTGTCTTTAATTTTTAAAGAAGTATGACCATATTATTTTTACAGTTAGAAAGAGCCAA